ATATCTTCTCCCTTCTAGTGTACTAAAATCCTGCCAGTTTATCTGCTTACCTTTTGAACAGGCTCCAGCTATGAACTTTCTTAGCCACTCGATCACTTCTAATCCTTCCAGCAATATTGTACCCTTTTTCGCTTCCCTTACCTTTAGGCTTACCTTCCCCTTGATTCTCATCTCTTMGAACAGGAGATTTTTTGCTTCTATCTTCAATGATCTCCTCCACTGACCTGCCTGCACGAACTCCATCCGCTCCATTTTCCCTCCCATCTTAGTTCCTCACCCTCTCACCCTCCATTTTCCCTCCCAGCAATAAGTCCTTTCCTTCTTGAGGGAGCTATTAGCCACCTCTAGCCAATTCCTTCTAAGTCATCAAAGGAGAACAAATGGAAAGATTCTAAAGTTCCCAACCAATGAATTGCCCTTGTTAAGATGCACTCTTTGATATTCAAGAGACTCCATTCCTTTTCTCGAAAAATCCTTGCATTTCTTTCCTCCCAAATTGTCCAAAGTGCAGCTGCTCTGATGCATTTCCACATAACCCTCCCTCTTTTTGTGGTCAATACAAAACTGACGGGTTGAAAAGAGACTTACATCAATGGGTAAATTCCACATGTGACCAAATAAGGAAAAAATCCAATCCCAAATAGCAACAACAAAGGAGCAAGAAATTAGTAAGTGGAAGTAGTCCTCACCATTAGCTTTGTAAAGAATACACCAGTTAGTGGACAAGCACACAAAAGGCTTCTTCTTTTGTAGGCAGTCTAGAGTATTGAATTTTCCATAAAACACTTCCCAACAAAACAAGATAATTTTGGGGGGAACAAGCTTAGCCCTTCTCCCCAAAAGGTAAATGCATTTTGTTGGGAGGAAAAACTTGTGATGTGAGATGCTCCAACAAAGGCAAAATAGTTGGTCTTTGTCCCCACATGTGTGTGTCACATGTATTAAGAGTGGGGAGAGCACAAATTATGTACCCTTGTCTTGCTAGTTTGCATCTCTCAAGTAAGGAGCCAATTTTTCCTCATTTTTTATCATCATGGATGCCACCATTAAACATGTCTATGTGTTCTCTACTCCATTAATTTCTTCATGCACAAGAAGGTTGAAAATCTTGCAGTAAGGTACTAGAGAAGCAACCATGTGAAGTTGGGGGAAAGAGGGATATAAGAATCCTCAAGAACAACAAACAAAACATGCACTATTTAATTGACCACACTATGGCAAGAGTCATCTATTACGTCTTGACCTATAATAATTCAAAGAAGTTACTGTCAATGACCTACTGAGAGACTGGGAGATTATAGCAGGTTTTTCAAATAGGAGACAATAAAGGAATATGGAAGGGAAAGCACCAGGGATGAGCAGAAGAAGTGGAACTTTAATAGGTGCAGTATAAACAACTCAGGGGCTTCAAACATTGGAGGAGCTAGTAGAAATTACAAGGGAACACCCTTCTAAGTTTTTCAAGCTGGCTTGTCTTGGAAACTCCTTAAAGTAGAAGTGTTGGCAGTAACCCAAGGTTTAAAAAAATTGCTTTATTAATTGGATGCACAGAACTACCTGTTAAAGGAAATTGTCCAGTCATAAATTGGTTAAAGGAATCTGTGAATCACCTTCTGTTACACTGGCTTTGCCCAAGAAGTGTGGTTTAAAATCTGGAACCTGTTTGAGATAAAGAGCTGCTGCCCGGAGTCGGTTATGGATTTTGTAAAATGTTGGAGTTTAGGGGGTTTATCATCGAAAGCAAAGTTGGCTTGAAACACGGCACCTGCAGCTGTTTTTTGGTGTTTATGGCAGGAAAGAAATGCAAGAGTTCTCAAGAACAAGCACAGCTCCCCCGACACAATGTTTCAGAGAGTAGTGGGCAAAATGATGTCTTGGCTTTCTGTAAACAGAATTTCTTTTTTTTTTTTGATAATTTTTCTGTAAACAGATTATTCAAGAATGGGAATTACAACACTTTTTTTGTACATGAGAATATCTTTTTGTAAAGCAAGGCTAGGGGTATAGAGTTGCTTGAGAAGTTTTTGTAAATCCCTGTGTACAGCTTCTTGTTGTACATGGTTTTGTTCTCTTTTTCTCCTTTAATGACATTATACTTTACCTGTTTCAAAAAAAAATGGTTAAAGGAAGTGGAAGAAGTACCATGGACACTTGGATTTCTGATTAGAGAAGCTTGAACTCTGGCTGCCAACGTAAACGATTTGTTCAATGGACACCTAAATCAGCCAGAGCCTAGCTGATTCCTTGGCTAGACCATGACTTACAAAAGAAACTCTTGCATGAGGAATACCTAGGCCAGAGTGAATTGTGAATTTCAAGTTTTAGCAAGTAAACAGGGGTATTCAGAATAATGGCTGTTTGTCTTTGTATCTGGTCATCCAAAGCTCTGGATAGGGTGAAGTTCTCATTACAACAACAAATCATCCTGTACTGTTGCTCATCAAAAATAATAAATAATGATAACGTAAGTGCAAATGGAAAATACATATTATAAAGCCTCAACCCTACTATTCTGGGGTGGCTGGTAAATAATATCCCACATTACCACATTATCAGAGGGAATATCTTCTTTATGAAATATCAGTCCTTTTTATATCAGTTATGAAACATCAGTCTTCACTCTTCAGATCCTTTCTAACTGCAATTAACCTCATGTTTTTTAAGTATTCAAGTTACACTAGCTGATGACCCAGTAGTTGAGATGGTCACTTGGCATCACTCCAAAAAAAGGAGGCACAGGATCAAGCCTGCAGAACTGTGAGCCTCACATGCATCCTGCTCTGTCCCCACCATGAGTCTCCTCTAATGTGTTTTATGTAATACCAAAAAAGGAATGCTACACTAGGACAAGTATAACATATCGAATGATCAAGGCCTAGGATCCTACCAATCCCCTGTCTTCCATTTGATCTTTTGGCATTTCCAATTAGGCATATGAACAACTGAACATACTCCTCTAGGGATGTATCTTAAATGATATTGCATGATTTAGTAAGTTCATTAATAGGTTGTAAATGATATTACATGATATTGCAATAGCCATCCTAAATACATCTCCTGCTTCTTTATAAACATGAACAGATGGGTAAATCAAGTTTCACAATTATACATGTTAATGCAAACGACTGGCATCCTGCATGGATTCCCCCATTCTAATGCTGCGTTGATGCTTCTGGATTGGAAGAGAATATTGAAAATACAATAGAGCCAATTTATTTGATGCATGTAGACCAGATTTAATGACCTTCTACTAGGATGATGAGATGTCATTCTCTGGACCAGCTGCCTGTTTGGAAGGAGTCCATGTAGAAAGTCGGAACTAGAACTTAATTCAGAGACTCCAATGACAACTTTGTTAAAATCCATGTTTCTTCTTCATTTATGCTCTTCTCCTTAAACTGAAAAAAAATATGCAAAATAATAGAAGATGGAGTTCTTTGTCAATCATGCTTCACAGCTTATAGGACCTGGAGTGACAAAGAGCATCCGTTGTAAAGACAGATATTAGAAATCCATATTTCTCTCACTCGTCTCCCCCTCCATAAAATGAAAAAGGTAAAATGGTAGAAGATGGAGTTCTTTGTCATTCGTGTTTCATAGCTTATAGGGCCTGGAGTGACAAAGAGCATCCAAGGTAAAGACAGATACCTTTCTCCGAACCTTGAAGGTCCCCATCCCCCTCAACGTGTTCGTTTCCATGAGCTGAACCTGCTATATATTTGTCACACTCGGGTACCGTGGATGAAGACTCTGAATCATTGATGGCCGGTTCAGGAGTGACCAATCCACTTTCCCCCACCTCCGGGCAACCTTTGTTTTCCACTTCTTCATAATCCGACAAGGGAACCGGAAATGTTCTCAGCTTTTCCACCTTATCGCCTCTTGTATCGGCTAATGGAATCTCATTGGCCGCTGAAGAGTCAGCAGCCGATGACGACGATTCATGTTTCGTCGAGTCATTGGAACGATCAAGTTTCAATAACATGTCCTTGTAATCCGCTTGCTGCTTCTCTTGATCGAGTGTTGGTGTTCGAGGAGTCAATGGTTCCGCGGAGCTCTCAACGAACCCGTCGGGCAACGAATCCACCTCCGGAAGTTGATTTGCAGGTGAGTTCTCCATTTAGCCTGCACCGTGAAACCTGAATGTCTCAAAATCTATAATAACAATATTAATAAGTGTGACGATGGAAATGACAATGTATACGTAACAACAAAACCAAAACCCTAATCACGGTTCCAATGGATCCTTTTTTGCCATTAGTAAATATTCACTTTGAACTTCTGAAATCAATGTTCCAGGAAAAAAAAAAAAAAAACGTAAAGAGTTACATCAATCGAAGATGTCCCTATGTGAACAGAAATCGCAATCGCTCAACACAGATTGGAACGATAAATCCATCAACACAAACTATGGTTTATAAACAGATGGCCAAATCCTTTTTTCTTTCTCTCGATATTTCTAAAGAATACATCGATGAGGAGGCGTTCTTACCAGTGAAAAGACGAAGAGCAGAGAGAGACCGAGTATGTGATCGTTTGGAACAGTGAGTCAGTGACCAATGGAGTCGAAATAGAAAGAAGGATCGAGCCACCGTATAGCTGTAAATGGTGGCTTTTCCGCTGATTCAATTACTGTGTGTGTGAATGCTGTATATTACTATATTAGTGCTGGAATCTGGAAATAAGAAAATCTTAGCGGGAGAGAGGTTGCCAGGTTCCCATCATGTTGTTCCAGGTAACCCGCGACAACGGGGATGGATACACATCTGTGAAATAAACAGACGACGGCACGTCCGACGCCCCGAATCCGGCGGGTCCCATCGATAACATTTTGGTTGGTAAACGATTTGAACCTTCCGATCGATACCCTTTTCTTCGGGAGACATGGAGCCGGATCCACTGTACGCAAACGCTTGCACACGGTACAAGGACATTACAGCCGCATATTGGGAATATTTTCTATGAACCCAACAGAGATGTTCCCGATGTACGACTGTGGTAGTGTATTATCTTTTTCATACCGTGCGCGCAGCAAATCCCGATCCAAATTTTGGCTGTTTGACAATGACATAGCCATGCGTCTGTGTGGAACCAATGGCCGTTTCCTGAAAAGTGTTTTTCTGAGGAAATGATTATCAGAAAACGTTTTTTTTTTTTGACCTTTGCCGATTGCTACCCTATAGGCATTTTTCAACGCTATGCGAGCATAGTTTTTAGGGCTGCGAGTCGGGCCGGGTTAGGTTGGGTTGGACCGACCCTAGCCTAACTCTAAGTTCTAAACCACCAACCCGACCTACTCAGCCCAACCCAACTCGAAGTCAACTTCATGTTGGGCATAGGAATGGCAATGGGGCAGGTTCGGGGCGGGGACCACATTCCCCATCCCCGACCCCAACCCCCAAATCACTCCTCATCCTTGTCCCCGATCCTCGACGGGGAAAGGAATCCCCCCTCCATCCCTGTTGGAGACCCAAACCCCCGACGAACTGGAGACTGAGTTTAAGTCTCCGAGAGACTGAGAATGAGAGTCAGAGAGAGAGAGAGGACCATTGCGAGAGATGAGGTCGACGATGAGAGAGAATCTAAAGGGTGAGGCGACAGCGATGATAGTCGGCGACAATGGCGAAGGTTGAAGGAAGATTAGAGAATTAAAACTCTTATTTGAGTATCTCTTCTCTGTCCTCAATCAAAACTCGAGTATCTCTGTCCTCTGTCTGATGTTCGACGACGATGAGCAAGTGGCGATAGTCAGCGACGGCAGTCAGCGGTCGATGAATCGGCGACAAAGACAAACTGACAAAGGAAGAAAAACCTAGGGTTCTGTCGATGACGAAGACAAAGACGAACTGACAAGCCTTTTATTGTTTAAGTGTTTTTTAAGTTTTGATCTTTTAAAAAATGAATAATAATTATTATAATATATAATATATATAATTATATTATATAATATATAATATTATATTATATATATTAATCGGGGGCGAGTCGGCCCGTCCCCGATTATATTATATATATTATATATATTAATTGGTGGGACAAACAGTATGAACAGTACATAGTGTTAAAAAAAGATGATTTCCTAAATTAAGAAAAGGTAAAATAATTAGAAAAGTGTAATTTGGGCATTTAGAAAGCTCGAACAATTAGATGAGAATCCTTTTTTTTTTTTGAACAATTAGGTCTTTGTAGGTGTTTGGCATTGGTGCTGGGAACATCGCACAGTTTTTCAGAAAAACGGTGCTTATTTTTTGTTTGAAACCGATGCTGTCACATAAGCGTTTTTTGATAAAACAACACTGGTTTTGTTTGGTACTTGTGCTGGCAACAACGTTTTCAACATTGATCCTATTATCCAATGTCCAAGGTGATGCCAAATTGATGCCACGTCATTGCATCATTGGCAGCAATGCGTTGTTTTCATAGAAAACATCAAATTTGGCGATGCTCCATACCACACTTTCCCGATTTCCAAGGCATGGTCTGGAGCAACTTTTTTTTTTGAGAAAATGGTACCAAACACGAGGGCATTGCTTCCAGCACTGTTTTCTCTGACGTGGTGCCTACATGGTGCTGTTTTCTCAAAAAATGGCAATGATGCCAAATATCGCCTTTGTCACTATCCCCATAGTATGGAGGTCTTTGTAATTTACCCATTTGTAAGGATTGGAATAAGAATATATGGCTTATGCTTATAAGTTGTTGGAGCAATTGTTTTGTTCTTTTTCTCTATGGATATGAATGTGGCCATACATGTTTGTATTGCTTGTTAGTTATTGTCACCCATGATGTTGTTGTAATATATTTTAGGTTATGTTTGGTGAACAAGAGGTTTGGAAAATAAGTACTTATTGCACAAGTATTTTTTATAAGTGCTTATTTTAATAGGGCCCGAAGACTATTTGGTAACCCACTTGCCAACCACTTATTATGTTTTTAAGCACTTATTGGGGTGGGGATGTTTGGCGAACTACTTTGCCCACAAGTGCTTATATTAGCTTAAATAACACTTTTAGCCTTCGCTCCGCACATACTAATTATAAACAATGCTTTTCATATTATTATAACATACATTTTAATGAAAATCGCCATATCACTATATTATGACACATGAGAGTCCACGTGAGCCCACACATGGATAATAATAATAATAATAATAAATCAATAACTAGTAATAATAATAATCATCATCATCATAATAATAACAACAACAATAATAAATACTTCCAAAAAGCATTTTCAATGATCAATTTTCACTAAAGCATTTCCATAAAGATTTTTCAAGGATTATTTTTCACAAGGTACTTCCAAGAAGTGCTTTAAGGTGCAATTTCCACAAAATACATCAAAAAAGTGCTTTTAGGGAGCAGTTTTCACAATTTATTTATAGAAAGCACTTTTAAGGACCATTTTTCACAATTTCCTTATAGAAAGCACTTTCAATGCACAATTTTTACAAATATTCATCCAACTCAAGCAATTTTTTTTGCATGATTTATAACAAAAAAACGCCCAAAAGAATTTCAGATTTCTCATATGAAAAAAAAAGAGTAATAATCATCCAAAAAAAACCAAACATGGAGGGGAGGAGTTTGGGCAAACTCACGTTCTATTCATTGGTGGCTGGACGATGGGATATCGCCGTTGAAGTTGCCCAAACACAGATCTACGACCAGAGAGAAAATGAGAGTTTTAGACTTCAGAAAAGGCAAAAAAAAAAGCCTAAAATCAATGGAATACTACAAAAAAAAAACAAAGATAAGAGCAAATTTGACAGGTCCACCAGCCATTTTTTGCTCACCGTTGAATGTCGTCGATGGACCTGCAACAGACACCGTCGCTGCCTGGTATGTTGTAGGGCCTCGAATGGAGGAAGAGGATGATAACCTTGCATTGGGGGTATTTTTAACATTAAAAAACAGGGACATGTTAGTCCCATTCGAATGAAGAAACACTTCTTCAAAAAGTGCCGAAAAAAAGTCACATCCATGTCACTTTTTTAAGAAGTGTTTTTTTAACAAGAAGTACTTCTTCCACACTTTTTTACTAAACACCTATAAGTACTTAAAAACCACTTAACACATGGACATGTCTTAAAAGAAGTAATTGTTGAAAGAAGTACTTTCTAAAAGTGAAATCCTTACTCTCCTCCCCGGAGGTCCTACTTGGCTTATATCTATATCCAAATTTTCTTGCTGTATCTATTTAGTTAGAAAAAAACAAAGGGATAGTTAAGTTAAACCAAATCGAACTCAATTACAGGTCGCTCGATAGTTGTATCAGACCATTGCTCGTCTTTGTTGGATCTCCAAAACTAATGGTCCTCCTAGCACAATGGCCACTATACCATATTTAGCTAATTATCATTTCATTGTTTTATTAGGAATCATTGTTTGTTGTAATATATATTGGATTCTATGTGTTAATGGGTTTTGGTAATATTGAAATCCTACACCGTGTCTTGATTTAGTTGTTATATTGTTCTCTTCTCACATATTTGTTCAAGTTATATTTTATATTTTTTAGTGTTTGATGCCGAGATTCTAAAGGCAATACTCATGTTACAAGCCATGTTGATGGGGATTAATCCCATCATTAACATTGTTAATTTTATCATGTTAATGTTAGCAAGATTATTTGGTGACTCTGTTTTGTTTATTTGGTTGACAGTTTATGTTGAATGATACGATGTTAAAGTATTGAGTTAGTAGTATAGCAAACCTGATTCCATTTCACCAAGACAAAGCACCACAGCCAATTCTATTTCGGTCTCAAAGATACCAAATTTTAATGATTATTTACTGGGATTTCTTGGGAACCAAGGCTGATTGCATAGATTATTTCAACGTCCAGCGTTCATTTATCAATGGTATTCAGTTTTGATGCTCCCTGCTAGACCAGAGAGTGAATCAAAGTTGTCATATGCTTTGATTAATAAAAAACTGAATATTATTTGTAATGACTTTGTATTGTAACTTAAATCTAGTGGGGTACCTAAGCTGAACAGTTCATTTGATTTGGGGTTCAACCTGTTTGTTTTGACTTGAACCTTTTAAGCTCCACTTGAGGGGAGCTGTAATAGTTAGATCTATGCAGATTCCCTAAATCGCTTTGGTTTCTGGTGCTGATAACTAAAGAGAAATGGATTGAGACTTGCTATATTAAACATTGGCAGCCATGGTGAAACTGATTTTTGCTAGATTGGACCACAGTGTTTGCAAATAATTGATTTTCTTGTTCATGTATTGAGATTAGACCTGTTCATGGGCCGGGCTGGGTCGGGCTCGGGCCGGGCTTTTACTCTTCATTAACAGAAATATGTTAGGCCCGAGCCCGAGCCCGGCCCGACCAACGGGCCTACAACATGGGCATGAGCCCGACCCTAATAAAAAGCTCGAAGCCCGAGCTCAGCCCAAAGCCCGACCTAATAAAAAAATTAAAAAATTTTCCTATTCAATAATCAATATAAATCAGAATTTATTTACATTAAAAAATATATATAAATTCAAAATTTATTTATACTAAAAAATATATATATAAAGAAGGGAAAGAGGATTTGGAGAAGAAGAATTCGGTTGGAAAAAGAAGGGAAAGGGGTGAAAAAAAGAGGGGTATTCAATTAGGGTTTTTAGGTTTATTTATAGGTCGGGCCAGGCCGGGCTCAAGCCGGGCTATTTTGGCAAATCCCGAGCCCGGCTCGAATTTATTGCGAGCCGGGCTTTTTGGCCCGAGGTTAAGCTC